AAGCATTGTTTTCATCCTTGTAAACTTAGTAACTTTGTCATAGCTACCCTGCTAAAAAATCCAGCTTAAACCAGCCTAGGCTGGTTGGCTGGTTTTAGCTGGTCGACCAGGCTGGTTTTAGAGGGGTTTTGGCCACTTCCAGGCTGGTTTCCAGCCATTTCCAGCCTGGTCTTAGCTGGTCAGGCTGGAAAATGACCAGCTAAATCCAGCTAAAACCAGCTTGACCAACCTGGTTTAAGCTGGACATAGCTGGTTTTGGCTGGGCTCCCAGCCTGGCAAGGGTGGTCAAGCTGGTTTAAGCTGGTCATCTCCCAGCCTAACCAGCTAAGACCAGGCTGGAAATGGCTGAAAACCAGCCTGGAAGTGGCCAAAACCCCTCTAAAACCAGCCTGGTTGACTAGCTAAAACCAGCCAACCAGCCTAGGCTGGTTTAAGCTGGATTTTTCAGCAGGGTTCTCACTGTTGTTTATTTTATCCTCATTGTCAGTTGCTTTGGATAAAAGCGTCTGCTAAACGAACAAGTGTAAATGGATTTTTGCTCTTTTTTTTCTTGCTTTGACACAATCTACCTAGTAAAAATTCTTTAGAAATAAAGATTACTTGTATGTATTCATAAAAACACAGTGTCACGTCACATTAAATATGCATTCTGGCTAAAAATCATTTTAAAAAGGTATGCCTAACACTATTTTACTAGCCCAAACATTACAGTCTATTGTTAATAAAGTAAAACTGTGGTAAATAGTATTCCACGCTGTAAATAAAAAATATATATACTTATTTTCAACTTTAAGGATGTATTTTCCAAAAAGCTGAACTGGCCACAATTTACAAGATGCCATTAGTTAAAGCTAGCTTGCTAACATAAACAAAACACGAACTACAGTATTTATTCATCTTTGTTAACGTATAACACAAAAATAAAGTCATTGATTGATTCAACAAGCATTTTACCATAGTAAATGTTGAACTATGATTATTAAATGCTGTTGTTTACTCTTTATGTTAGTAAACACATTAACTGACATTAAATAATGATTATGTGTGATGCTAAACTTATAATATGCTAAAACATTAACATTTTAAGTAGTTCAACTGAACATGTAAGTAGCTTATAAGTTCTTAGTGTTATAAAATATTAATTAATTCAACAACTAACGTTTAAAAGCGATATGCTAATTGTTGCTAACGTAACAGTTAATTTAAAATTGTAAAGAAATCGGCGTTAAAGGCGGCCATTTTATACAACATACATTGACATAAAGACTGTTTGCTTGAGATGTAATGGAAATGAGTGGTTTATGGAGAGCATATTATCTGTTGAATATCATTAGTGAACACGTGAGAAGCGTTTCAAGAAGGTAGTTGAGGATGAGTCTGGGCCAAAGAGATATTAATTAACTTAAAGATATTAGAGTTGTATCTCAAGCAGTTATAGAGCTGTTAAACGCATGCTTTTCTCACCTGTGATGCTCAAATTACTGTAACGGGACTAATCCTTCACTGTCGAGTTATTAAAATGACCAAATAAAGAGAGATCTTCAGTGTCCGTTTGATACGCACATACATAAAGAGCTAACGCGTCTTTACAAATCCGTTAAATATCGGTGAGGAGAAACCACAGACAGTTCAGTGTCTCGTGAAGGTTTGTGTTCACGATCGGGAGGTAGAAATGCCGCATGCTGGATCTGATGGATGTGCTTCGCCTTCAGTAAACAGCATCTCATGCGCGCGAGTTACTCATCAACCCTGGATCCGCAAACGCGCCGTTTTATTCGCTCATTTTGCTGAAATTGGCTTGTATAATATGCAGACTGCGGCCTCCAGTCCACACAGCAGCACTCCCTGTTTGTTTCCCAGCCTCCTCCAGTCCTCAATCCCAACATATCCTCCAATCACGGCCTCAGTCCACAATCCACCGCTCCGGAGTCCGCGCCAGGCCGATGTGCTTTCACTAAAACCTGGAAAGAGTGGACTTGATTTTGTACCCCACTACTAGGCTGCTTCGCTCACGATTTATCCCAGATAATTTATAGAAGATGTTTACACAATTATGATTTTATAATACTCCATGTGTAATGTAGTAATAGTATACTGCAGTTTATAAGTTAGTTAATACTACAGTGTAACGCACAACAAAGGGGTGTAGCCTAAATATTGGTTACAAACACTATATTTACTATAAACTACTTTAGCCTACATGTACAGTTGAAACCAGAACACAGATATATACATTAGATGTCGCCTGGCCTATTGTTGTCTATTGGACGGAATGCGTCAATAGCGCCGCCATCTTGCTACAGGGTAGCGCTCCTTTGAAATGAATGCGGGACCAAGGTACAGTGGAGGACTGTGGAATAAATTTTTTAATTTTTTTTTACTCTCTGATAGTCAAAGCAAGTAAAAAATAAATAAATAAAAAACTATGTTTAATATTCATTTTAAAAAATTCAGGAAAAAGTGTTTAATGTAAATTCGGTCTACATATATGGACATCATTTTTTCTCTAAAAGTACATCATGTCAAAAGATGACACTTGCATCCTAATCTAATTAGGTTCCAATAAGCCCAAATAGTAAAGAGAAATAAAAAATGCATGTAAAAAACAGCTTGGGCCTTAAGAGGTTAAAGCCATTTCAGTAGTTCTCCTTGTGTTTTTGCAGTTTTGTTACACATAACGGGTCCAAGTCAACAGCTCCTTTAGAAGTATATTTACTATAGAAAATCATGACAAGTTTATTAATTAGTTTATCTGCTGAATATGGGGTCGCATTAAATATATATTTAAAACGTTTTATTACATAGGAGCTTGTATTGAATGATTAGTCTTTTTTTAAATAGCTGATATAGTTTTTACACACATTGTTGATAAATATATGCTATGTGAAAACAAATGTTCAAATGAAAATGTCCCTCATGTATATTGAAAAGTAATTAGGCATGTCAACACCCTTCAAACATTAGGCTCCCACCACCATGATTGACAGAGTTGAAGGCTTCTCCTTTTTTACACCAAATCAAGGCTACACCTCATTGTGGCCAAAAAATTAATTTTTGGTTTCGTCTGACCATAAAACAGAAGACCAGAAGTCTTCTTTGTCCACATAAGCATTTGGCCAAGCAGGCGTTTTTGTGTGCCTTCAACAAAGTGGAGTCAACATTGACCTGCGTTTGTGTAAACCAGCGGTGCGCAGTGTCTGTTGGACTCTCTGCCTTGAAATGTTGCCACCAACAGAGTCCAGATTCATCAGTATGGTCTTTGTGGTGATCCTCTGATTCTTTTTGCCTCTCTGAGCTTCTTTGTCTTAGCCATGACTGTCCACAAACCAACCCTGCTGAAAAATCCAGCTTAAACCAGCCTAAGCTGGTTGGTTGGTTTTAGGTGGTCGACCAGGCTGGTTTTAGAGGGGTTTTGGCCATTTCCAGGCTGGTTTCCAGTAATTTCCAGCCTGGTCTTAGCTGGTCAGGCTGGAAAATTACCAGCCAAATCCAGCTAAAACCAGCCTGGTTTAAGCTGGATATAGCTGGTTTTGGCTGGACTCCCAGCTTGGCTAGGCTGGTCAAGCTGGTTTTAGCTGGTCATCTCCCAGCCTGACCAGCTAAGACCAGGCTGGAAATGGCTGGAAACCAGCCTGGAAGTGGCCAAAACCCCTCTAAAACCAGCCTGGTCGACCAGTTAAAACCAGCCTAGGCTGGTTTAAGCTGGATTTTTCAGCAGGGAAAACAGCTTTTCCCATAGACTGTGACAGTTTGCAAAGGGTATGAATAATTTTGGACATACAACTTTTTGTTCAAAGGTATATAAAAGCTGAGAAATCTATTTTTTTTCCACAACGATGCCTCCAGCACATCGTCTTATTCTCTTTTGGGAGAGGCCTTTGTCTTTTCAGTGTCAGAAAAAAAAAACCTTGCTGGTTGAATAAAAGTAACTTTAGGTCAGAATTTGCCAGGGGAGTGCGAACAAACGAATATATAACTAATATATTTAATAAATAAACATAAAAATGTGAGTTTCAGGGAATTCTGAAAGTCAATTTATGGATGCTTACAGATTTGCTGTAGCATATTTTTTCACCATGGAAAATCAGCCATTTTTTAGCAAATGACAGTGTTTCGAATTGGATATTTTTAAGTTAAGTTTTCGCCTTCTTTACTCTCAAATTGATTACGCATAGACATTTTACTACTTTTTTACAATAGCAAAAAAACAAACAAACAAACATGTCTGCCCGGCCCTAGATATCAGGTACAGAGGCGTTTCCCTGAAGTACGCCAATGTTAAAATGACTGTTAAAAGGACGTCCTACATCCAGATATCCATCCTCCATCTTACATCACTTCACCCACCTGCCCTCATAAGAGGAAGGAAGAGGTTTATGCTTGCAGAAAGAAGACAAGACAGTATGCTGACTGAACCCAACTTCAGCACATCAGAGGGATCCATCCATCTTTTATTTCAACAGACGACATCGGCGCCAAGGTGCTAAAAAAATCTACTAAACTCAAATTATTAGCTTCCTAAATTAGAGTAGATGTGATGCTTTTAGGGTAACACTTCACAATAAGGTTGCATTATGAATGTAGTTACTAACATAAACAATGAATATTGCATTAATTACAGTATTTATTCATCATTAATGAATGCTATGGGTACGTCAGTTCCCTGGACTGTTTTAAGAAACTTCTTAAAACTCGTCTTTTTATTATTGCTTATAACTTATGAGACTTTCTTTTAATCTGTATTTTACTATTTATATATATATATGTATTTACTTTTTTTGTGTGTGTGTGTGTATTTCATTTTTCACTGTGTTTTGGTGCTCTTGTTAGCACGAAAAGCGCAATATAAATAAAATGTATTATTATAATTAATGTTAACAAGCATAATGTTTGATTTTAATACCAAATAAATGATATTATTCATTCACATCAGCAAATACATTAACTAATGCAACCTTAGTAAAGTAAAGCTTGTCAAACAATTGTTTGCTATATTGTAGAAAAATGGGATCTGATTTGGATGTGATGGACCGACATGATGTGATGGACAGAGTGCCATATGCTCACCCTTTGGCACTGGGTTTGTCTTTAAACTACCCGTACTCTCCCTTCAAAGACGCACAAAATAAAACACAGAAACACCAAGACCGCTTGAACAGTCAACGCTACATTGAATGCGTTTCCTACCTGTCCTACCACGGGAACTTCGGCGCTCTGGAGCCGGCGTTCATCAACAAGCGCAACGAGAGAGAGCGGCAGCGGGTCCGGTGCGTCAACCAGGGGTACGCCAGACTCCGGCAACATTTACCTCAGGACTTCGAGGATAAAAGACTGAGCAAGGTAGAGACACTGCGGGCCGCCATAGGCTACATTAAACACCTGCAGGACCTTCTGGACCTCAGAGGAGGTCACTGAGAGACTGGACTGATCTGAAGTAACGTATGCTTGTTATTCATTTCCTCACCTTAAACCTGCCAGCTCTCGCTTGGGGTTAACGTTACGGTACACGTTGGTGTTTACTGGAAGACTGTCTTGAAATGTAATGTAGTGTTTAAATTCTCACTACTAGCTTAACTAGTGGCTTAATTGAACGTTTCTTATTGAAATACTGTCTGTCCATTATTCATAAGGTGATGTCAAAGAACACGTCAAAAATGCGTATCAACTTGATGTCAAAACTTGACGTCCATTTTACATCCACGTTGGCTGGGGAGAGCGGGGACGAAAATAGGCTAGCATTTTCATTAAAAAAAAACGTACTTTTAAAGCATATAAGAGCATTTCCAGCAGAGGTATGGAATCAGAAAAAGACAATAAAGATTTATTATGTTTTTAAAAATTTGATTACAAAAAAAGTTGTGAGTTTACAGTACTACTTTGTAGAAATTCAGTGAATTAAACTGCACAAACCTAAACAATGCTAATCAAAAGGATAAGAGTCGCTCACTACAGAACACAAATGATTGATTTCATTTTATTTGACATTTTTTCATTTATGAGGGAAAAACTTCATCATGGATGTGACCTCTTTCCGTTACGGATGTGACAGATGTGAAATTGGCCCAATATAATAGTTTGAAAACACTGACAGAGACAGTTTTAAAGATTTTACAACTGTAAAATACTTGTTTACAGAAAAAAATGTTGAAAAAGTTTCTTTATTTTGGTGAAAACTTATTTTTTTTCATGGCAACCCTGCTGAAAAATCCAGCTTAAACCACCTTAAGCTGGTTGGCCGGTTTTAGTTGGCTGACCAGCCTGGTTTTGGAGGGGTTTTGGCCACTTCCAGGCTGGTTTCCAGCCTTGTCTTAGCTGGTCAGGCTAGAAAGTGACCAGCTAAAACCAGCTTGACCATCCTGGTTCAAAAATACCACCTGATATTGTCAGACCACACTTATGAGTTCCCTGCTGAAAAATCCAGCTTAAACCACCCTAGGCTGGTTTTAGCTGGTCGACCAGTCTGGTTTTAGAGGGGTTTTGGCCATTTCCAGGCTGGTTTCCAGCCATTTCCAGCCTGGTTTTAGCTGGTCTGGCTGGAAAATGACCAGTTAAATCCAGCTAAAACCAGCTTGACCAGCCTGGTTTAAGCTGGACACAGCTGGTTTTGGCTGGGCTCCCAGCCTGGTTAGGCTGGTCAAGCTGGTTTTAGCTGGTCATCTCCCAGCCTGACCAGCTAAGACCAGGCTTGAAATTGCTGGAAACCAGCCTGCAAATGGCCAAAACCCCTCTAAAACCAAGCTGGTCAACCAACTAAAACCGCCCAACCAGCCTAGGGTGGTTTAAGCTAGATTTTTCAGCAGGGAAGGTTTACATTTGTATGGAATCGCTCATAGCGTTTTCACAAACGTTTTTTCGTTGTGGTTACTAACCCTACTGAAAAAAACAGCTTAAACCAGCCTAGGCTGGTTAGCTGGTTTTAGCTGGTCGACCAGGCTGGTTTTAGAGGGGTTTTGGCCACTTCCAGGCTGGTTTCCAGTCATTTCCAGCCTGGTCTTAGCTGGACAGACTGGGAGATGACCAGCTAAAACCAGCTTGACCAGCCTAGCCAAGCTGGGAGTCCAGCCAAAACCAGCTATTTCCAGCTTAAACCAGGAAAAGTCTGTAAAATAACAGTGTTTCTCTGTAAACATTTGAATGAAAATATCTGTAGATTTATCAGTTTTTGCACTTTACTTCAACAAAGAAATTTTACCATAATTTTATGGTTTTTGTTCGGCAGCCGTAGCTGCCAGTCATTTGACCTTTTTTTTTTTACAGAGCAAGTAATTACAATTTATTACTTTAATTTTACGTAATTTTAAATATAAAACAGGAAAAAACACTGTGTAAATAATACGGCAATTTTATTGTATAAAACAGACAAATTGCTGTAATTTGTCATTACTTATATAGTACATAAAATAACAGTCAAGCTGTTAATTTACAAATATTGTTTGTAAATTTTACGGATTTTTAAAAATAATTTAAAATAACAGAAAATAATTCTGTAATTTCCCTGTATAAACAACAAAAATGTCAGTCATTTGTCTTTAATGATAAAGTACCTAAAATAAAAGTCAAACAGTGAATTTAGAGAGATTGTTTGTCATTTTACTAAGTTCTTCATATAATTTTAAATGACAAAAAATTACTGTAAAAAATTTCGGGATATTTTCTGTAAAATTAGGGTATTTTTTACAGTGTAATTAACCTAGTTAAGCCTTTAAATGTCACTTTAAGCTGTATAGAAGTGTCTTGAAGAATATCTAGTCTAATATTATTTACTGTCATCATGGCAAAGAGAAAATAAATCAGTAACTACAGATGAGTTATTAAAACTATTATCATTAGAAATGTGTTGAACAAAACTGCTCTCCGTTAAACAGAAATTGGGAAAAAAAGGGGGGGGGGGGGGGGACTAATAATTCGGACTAAACTGTATATCATATTAGCCATCTCTAACCCTAAATAAGTGCTCATGAAGCCCTCAGCCTCTGTGAACACAACACCTCCCTCTGGATATGATAATATGTTCAGGAATGTATACTTTATAAAAGGAAGGAAGCATAAACCACATCAAGTCCTTGATCTCTGCTTACTCTTCACGCTTTAGCTAAACCGCAGGAAAGCGGTGAATGCGCCTCCGTTTGTACCACTGAACTCTGGAGACACGGGAAAGCAGCGAAGGGTAAAAGCGGTGAACCGTGAAGGCCGGATGAACATGGAGGAGCGAGAGAGAGAGTCAACAAAGCGCTTTACTGACAGCATCCGTGTGAAAAGGAGCTGGTAATTAAGAGAGTTGCTGGTACCCTGACGGTGACGGTTCAGCGGCTGGCAGAGGGAGGACGGAAGCTGAAGTCACGGCTCTAGAACAATAATAATGTCGGCTTCCAGAGAGATCGCTATCGCAGGTTTACCACACAGCCAGTAACGCCGCCCCCGCTAAAAATCTGATGTCTCAACGCACTTACAAAAACATCCGTGCAGTAACTATTGTCCATATATGTTTGATTATTATGATCAGAATCAGTTTTACTGCCAAGGTTATATGGTGCTACGTACAAGTGCGTATGAGAAAGAATTGCACATGTTTATTGCGCAGTTGGGGGATATTTAACTGTTCATGAGGTAGATAGCCTTAGTAAGGCAATAACAGAAGCCTCAAAATTAAATAAACAAGTAAATAAGAGGGTGGGAATGTGGTAAAGCATGGTAAAAATCAGACGAGGACTTTTCTTTTTCTGGTTTGCTTTTGAAAATTGTTGGTCGGATTTAGGGAAGGAGGGTGGGTCAGTCGATTGGTCAGTCAGTCAAACAGTCAGTGGACAGCGGCCTCTAGTGGATTTGCGTGAGAACAGCTGGCACGAATGGCACTCGCGAGAGAAATCTGAGATCTCGAAAAGCACACACAGCGGCCTCTCGTGGATTTGAGAAAACAAAAACTGCAGAAAAAAAGTACCCCGGAGACGTACGTCGCGTTCTCCAGAAACGTCTATACAGCTGTTTTCAGAAGGAGCCCGGGTTGTTATATTGTGCAGCGAAATTTGCTCAGTTTATTAATATTAATGATTAATAATAAGTTATTATTAATTATGAGTATTCAGACTTATGGTTGGTTTAAATAAATAAATATAGCAACGGCGAGGCAGTGGCGCAGTAGGTAGTGCTGTCGCCTCACAGCAAGAAGGTCGCTGGGTCGAGCCTCAGCTCAGTTGGCGTTTCTGTGTGGAGTTTGCATGTTCTCCCTGCGTTCGTGTGGGTTTCCTCCGGGTGCTCTGGTTTCAGTCCAAACACATGCGGTACAGGTGAATTGGGTGGGCTAAATTGTCCGTAGTGTATGAGTGTGTGGATGTTTCCCAGAGATGGGTTGCGGCTGGAAGGGCATCCGCTGCGTAAAAACTTGCTGGATAAGTTGGCGGTTCATTCCGCTGTGGCGACCCCGGATTAATAAAGGGACTAAGCCGACAAGAAAATAAGAAAAAAAGTAAATAAGGGTGGGAATGTGGTAAAGCATGGTAAAAATCAGACGAGGGCTTTTCTTTTTCTGGTTTGCTTTTGAAACTTGTTGGCTGGGTTCAGGGAAGTGGGAGGGCGAGCCAGTCAATAAACTTGGTTGGATTTAGGGAAGGAGGGTGGGTCAGTCGATTGGTCAGTCAGTCAAACAGTCAGTGGACAGCGGCCTCTAGTGGATTTACGCGAGAACAGCTGGCATGAATGGCACTCGCGAGAGAAATCTGAGATCTCGAAAAGCACACACAGCGGCCTCTCGTGGATTTGAGAAAACAAAAACTGCAGAAAAAAACGTACCCTGGGGACGTATGTCGCGTTCTCCAGAAACGTCTATACAGCTGTTTTCAGAAGGAACCCGGGTTGTTATATTGTGCAGCGAAATTAGCTCAGTTTATGAATATTAATGATTAATAATAAGTTATTATTAATTATGAGTATTCAGACTTATGGTTGGTTTAAATAAATAAATATAGCAATGGCGAGGCAGTGGCGCAGTAGGTAGTGCTGTCGCCTCACAGCACGAAGTTTTCTGGCTCGAACCTCAGCTCAGTTGGCATATCTGTGTGGAGTTTGCATGTTATTCCTGCGTTCGTGTGGGTTTCCTCCGGGTGCTCCGGTTTCAGTCCAAACACATGCGGTACAGGTGAATTGGGTGGGCTAAATTGTCCGTAGTGTATGAGTGTGTGGATGTTTCCCAGAGATGGGTTGCGGCTGGAAGGGCATCCGCTGCGTAAAAACTTGCTGGATAAGTTGGCGGTTCATTCCGCTGTGGCGACCCCAGATTAATAAAGGGACTAAGCCGACAAGAAAATAAGAAAAAAAGTAAATAAGGGTGGGAATGTGGTAAAGCATGGTAAAAATCAGACGAGGGCTTTTCTTTTTCTGGTTTGCTTTTGAAAATTGTTGGCTGGGTTTAGGGAAGTGGGAGGGCGAGCCAGTCAATAAACTTGGTTGGATTTAGGGAAGGAGGGTGGGTCAGTCGATTGGTCAGTCAGTCAAACAGTCAGTGGACAGCGGCCTCTAGTGGATTTACGCGAGAACAACTGGCATGAATGGCACTAATGAGAGAAATCTGAGATCTCGAGAAGCACACAGCGACCTCTCGTGGATTTGAGAA